CGGGATTTATATAACTCTAAACTTTGTTGAGCTTGGAGACGTCGCTCTTTAAGGCCTTCGAGTTCTTCCAATCACAGTTTTGCATTTTGTTCGTTTGTAATCTGGTTCTGAACTGCAATCCTAAGCGACGGGATTTGTATTTCCAAGGGTAGAACGGCCTCAGATCCATACACTAGTGTGAACGGAGTAGATTGGGTCGGAGTTCTATAAGTGGTACGATAAGCCCACAAAGCTTCCACCAACCGCTCATCCCATTGTCGCTTGTTATCATCAAGGGTCTTTTTAATGATTTGCACCAAGGTTTTGTTGAAGGCCTCGGCCAATCCATTTGCCCGGGGGTAATAGATTGTTGAGTATCTCCAATCAATATTATGGCATCTTACAAAACTGTTAATCTTTGTAGACTTGAATGCGGACCCATTATCGGATATGATTCTGCAGGGCACGTCGAATCGATACACGATATGGTCACGAAAGAATTTTAAGACATGGTGGGATGTCACATTGCGTAGGGTAATTGCTTCCGCCCACTTTGAAAAGTAATCAGTCGCTGCTAATATGAAACGATGACCTCTCGCGGAAGGAGGGTCAATCGGTCCTATGATATCTGTGCCCCAACTCTCGAAGGGCCACGAGGCTATCGTAGGATGTAACACATTAGGCGGCTGATGCAGAACCACACCATGAACCTGACATTGATGACAATGTTTTGCAATATTCAAGCAATCGTCAATCATTGTAGGCCAGTAGTATCCAAGTCTTTTAATTTTTGATTTCATTTTTGGACCCAATTGATGTGCACCGCATAGTCCTGAATGAACTTCATTAACGATCTTTAGAGCTTCTCGTTGGTCTAAGCAACGCAGCCACATGTGATCGAAGGACCGTCGGTATAACAAGTTATTGACTAGTGTGTAATAAAGGGCACATTTCTTAATCTGGTTAGAGAGCGATTTGTCCTGAGGGAGCTTCCCTTCTTTAAGGTAGTCAATTAAGGGTTGTCTCCAATCGCCTTCTTCGTCAGTTGTCGAAGAGGCAGAAAGGATCTGAAGGGGAGTCTTACTGATGTGTTCCAAATCTATAAGAGAAAGGGTATTGCGAGCCTTAATCTCTATAGGAATGGAATCTTCCTCAGGACAGGAAAATTCTTTCGCTAGTTTTGCTAAGGCATCTGCTGCAGAATAGCTTCCACGGGGAACCCTATACAAAGTAGTGGTGGGAATTTGTTCCAACAGGTGAAGTGTGTACTGGTGGTATTTCAGGAGATTAGGATTCAAGACTTTATAGGTTCCGGCCACTTGGTTAATCACCAACTGGGAATCTCCAAAAATCTTAATCTCTTTAATTTCCATTAAAATTGCAAGTTCCAAACCGGTTATCAGAGCTTCGTATTCAGCCTCGTTGTTTGTGCAGGGCTCCGATAAATGGTAGGAAAAATGCATCATTCCTTTTTCTAGCATTATGAAGATTAAACCAACTCCGGCCTTTCCGGGAATTATAGACTGCTGGGTCGCATTCCTACGAGAGGATGCTGCTCCATCAAAATACAGCTCCAAGATGGCCTCATCAGATTCCCTCAAACTCATGATTTGTTCGTCGGGTAAATCATCGTTCAGAGCAGAGTCTGCCGGCAGCGGGTGCGCTGCCAGAAAGTCGGCAACGGCTTGTCCTTTCACAGCGCGAAGAGGAGTGAAAGTAATCTCAAATTGCAGTAATATCATAGACCAGCTGGCTAAACATCCTGACAACGTCGGTCGGGTCATGAGATATTGCAAAGGATTAACTCTTGAAATTAAACTAACTGAGTGTGAAAGCATATAATGCCTCAGTTTTTGGGCTGCGAAAACTAAAGCAAGACAATTCTTTTCAATTGAAGGGTATCGAATTTCCGTAGGAAGAAGTCTTCGACTAAGATAATAGAGAGCATTCTCCTTCCCTTCGTCGTTGACTTGAGCTAGCAGGGCGCCTAAAGACTCATCTAAGGCTGCAGTGTAGAGAATTAACGGCTTTCCCAGAATTGGAGCTGCCAGAACTGGTGGATTAGAAAGGTATTTCTTAATATTATCGAAAGCGTTTTGACACTTCTCGCCCCATACGAATTTAGTATCTTTTTTCACAAGGACAGAAAAGGGCTGACACCTTCCGGAAAGGTTAGAAATAAACCTCCTTATATATGCCAATCTACCTTGTAGAGACCTTAACTGGGTAAGGCTCCTAGGAGATGGCATGTCTAAGATGGCTTCAATTTTGGCGGGGTCAATCTCTATTCCTCGGTGCCTTACTACGAATCCTAGAAATTTCCCTGAAGCAACGCCAAAGGCGCATTTCAGAGGATTCATTTTCAAATCGTAGCGGCGCAACCGTTCGAAAACAGTTCTCAAATCAAACAGGTGAGCCCCTTTGACTTTGCTCTTGACAACCAAATCATCAACATAACATTCAACTTGGTTATGGATTAAGTCGTCAAAGATATGGGTCATGGCCCGCTGGTAAGTTGCCCCAGCATTCTTTAAGCCAAATGGCATCACCTTGTAACAAAAGATTCCAATAGGGGTTCTGAACACTGTATTTCTCTCATCTTCTGGGGCCATCTTGATTTGGCTATAACCCGATGAGCCATCCATGAATGAGAATATAGCGTGTGAGGAGGCAATGTCCACCATGAGCTCTGGTATTGGTAAAGGGAACTCATCTTTAGGACATGCCTTATTCAGATCCCTATAATCGATGCAGATTCGAATTTGACCATTTTTCTTTCGGACTGGCACGATGCTAGCTACCCAAGAGGGGTATTGTTCCTCTAGAATAAATCCAGCTTCGGCCAATTTCTTAACTTCAGAAACGACTTGTTGTTCAATTTCTAGGCGCATGCGTCGAGGAGCTTGTTTAACGGGAATGGCATCATGCCGAATTCCAAGTTTATGAACCGCTACCTCAGCGGGTAGACTTGGCATTTCGTCATATGTCCAGGCAAAGCACTCCCTAAATTCAGACAATAATTGAACTAAATCTTTGGTTTCACCCTCGCTCAGCAGAGCACTTTTAAAGATCGGACGGGGGTCGTCATTGGTTCCCAGGTTAATTTCTTTTAATTCATCGACCGTCAATTTAATTTCTTCCTCAAATTCAGGGGGTGCATCCCGAACTTGAAGGTCATCGGGATCATCCAAAGTCTCCAAACAGAGCCCATCAAGAGGACAGAAGGGATCCGTAGGGACATTCGGTGATTCAAGGTGGTAAGTTATCATTAGGCAATACTCATCATCGTCGAATGAACTAACGGTTCCAAAGCAAATACCACTTGTAGGATTATTTTTAATTTTTGTTTTCCAAATGTTTTCGTGGTATCTGGCTTGACCTTTAGTCCATCGGTATGGTACAGAACCTTTAGAGAAAGTATTCTTCACACAGACAAGGAAGTAGCCGAAAGGTAATTCCATTAATTCATTAAAATCTGTCTCCTCAAGGGTTACATCACCTTCATCCCTTGTGGAG